GCACCTACACCTTCTTCACCACATGCCGCAAAGCTTCCTCTGTGTAAAGATTTCAAAGGCATCATTAGAAGTTGTTATTCTTAGATGGGCGCGTTTCAGAGGAAGACCTTTCTTTGAACGGTTCTGCCGACGAAGCTCTGGAGAACACCTCCACAGGCATCGGCTTGGCAGCCGCTGAGCTGTTTGCAGATGTGGCCCGAGAACGGGAGAGGCCTTGCACAGCGAGCAAGCTGCAACACAGCAGCAGCATGTGCATAACAGAAGTGGGGGGGATAAAAAACAACAAAGCTGACACCCAGCCTTTGCTTCTCTGTTGTATACTAGGAAAATAGGTGGGGCAGCAGAAGTGCAGCATGCTTGATTTTCTTATGTAGACACATCTATGGCCAGAACTGATGCACCTTCCCCCAAATCCAGGGACCTATGAGGCCAGGGGCATAGGTGAGATGAATTAATATCAGCACTTCTTTTGGATTTTAAAAGGCATTTTGGTTTAGTGGCAAGACAAGAGGAGTGGGGGTAGCTTGGCAGCCACCTGATCAAAGAGGTTGGATGACTTAACAAGGGATCATTTCCTATTTTCCCTTCCTTCCATATTCGATGTTCTGGTGCTGGGTTTCGGTATCATAAGCCATACACTCAAAAGCCACGGGTGACCTGTATTGATTACACACTCAGACTTCACAAAAATAAGTGGATCGAGCTACCAGACCTACTATGTCGCATCAGAGATGCCAAGTGTATATTAAATTCTGATCGACAAACTCCTCCTCACTGCAACTAGCAGCGATGTCTAAGGGACTTGGAGGCTGTGGACTCCCCCCCACCCTGGGAATGGATGCAAGACCTATTGCTCCATTTCACTGCAAAGCAGACCGCTGGTAAATTAAAAAAATAATCTTATGTCGCTGAAGAGAGAGTAGTGGCTGAGATCATTCAAAAAGTGCTTTTCAGTCCTGTTTGCTGTGATTCTATGCTGGAGTTCAACTGCAGAGAAAAGCCCTTCCGTGTCTTGCTAGCCAAATATTTCTTTCTTTAGCATTGGTACTTTTTTTCTGAAGTAGGTATGCACTGATTTACCAGGCATTATTTTTAACCAAAAAAAAAAAAAAAGGAAGCAGAGACATTTGAGGTAAGAATTGCATGGTTCAGCCCAGTGGAGCTCAACCCTTTGAAGTGGCAGGGTTGGGCGCTTGCTACCTGGCTGCATTATGGGCCATCACTCCCTGCAGGGGGGAAGAAAGGAGAAGGAGAGAGGTGGCTGCCCATGTCAGAGGCAGTGGCGAGGGAGCAGGGAGAAAGGTAGAGAAGAATACTTACCTCTGGTAAACAGGCCTTGCTATAGTGGAGGAAGGAAGAAGGGAGGCAGGGAGAGAATAAGCAGGGCCTGCTGTAGCAGAGGGAAAAGGGAGAGAGAGGACGGCTGAAGAGAGGATCAGCAACATAGCACGGGGCAGGGAATGGGGTATTCAGTCACTTTAGGGGAGGTGGAAGGTGCAAATCCAACTTGTGGGTCATCTGTCGGTCTAAATCAGGGATTTTCAGCCATGGTGCCATAGCAGCCTGGGGTGCTTTGAAATCCTTTCAAGGGTGCTGCAGAGTGCCATGCAATATTAGATAGGGTAGATGTACAAACATGATTCACAAAATAAGCTTATTTCAAACAGATATTCATAGCGTTAGTGTAAAGACTAGGACATAGCCAGTCTCGCCTACTGGGTAGGCCACCACGGGAGGGCCAGAGCCCAAGGTACCAGAACCAAGGGGTAATTTAAGGAGCAAAGTCCAAGTCACAGGCTCAAGTCAGGGTTCTGGAGGCAAGAGACCAAGGGGGAAATCCAAACAACTGGAGTCCAGAGTCAGAGCCGAGCGGGGTCAGAAGTCAGAGAACTGAAAGCACAGGATTCAGGGAGGTTTAGCACGGCAGACCTGCAGGTGTACGTGTTGGCTGACCTGCAGTCTGCTGCTACAGGTGGACTTAAATGGGGACGCTGCTCTCTCCAGCAGGCAGTCAGGACGCCCCAACAGCGGCCGGCTGGATCATCACCACCGAGGGTAGGGCTGCCAGTTACAGCCTTTGGCAGGTTTGGCCAACTAGGCAATGCCAGGAGAGCAAACATGATTCACAAGATAAACCCATTTCAAATAGGCATCCATAGTGTCCATGTAAGGACTGGACTGCCTGGGAGGGACAGTCAAAAACATCCTGCCCTGTTGGGGTCTTCCTGAGTTCTTGGCTATAGAAAAAATGCTCTGCTGCTTTTCGCTAGTTAAAAAATGAGTGAAGCTAAGAGCCGGCATTTCCCAAGGCGTTCCCTGAGTCTACAAAAATTGAGAATTGCTGGCTTAGGGGATTCTAAGATTCCCATTCAAAATGCACAGACCCTTTGGAGACAGACATTGCGTCAAAGGAGAGACACTAGGCTTCATTCAGTCCCCTGGCTAGGTCTTTCTGAAAAGAGGTTTTTAACATTTATAGTGCAGCAGCACCCAAAGGTACTGATATTGCAATGTTAAAATGCATCGCTTCATGTCATATTGTCCCACTGTAGACAGGTGAGCTCAAGCAAGCCTAGGCTGTCTGACTCCAAATCCATCTCCCTGCCTCCACGTCCTCACTGATGAGCCGCCTGATTGGAGCAAAGAAGGATGTTCATATGTATGGAGAAGAAACACCTCGTGATGACAAGGCTATTTTTGTACCTCTTTACTTCCCATCAATCATCTTCCAAGATGTCTTGAGATTTCGACTGATCTAAAGGCCATAAGATGCTTCTGTTAAGTACTATTCAGCAGATGGCCATGTATTCAGCCAGTGGCATTTTTACACTTTAGAATAGTCAAGGGAAAGGAAAAGATATGCCTAAGAATCTATTTGTATAATAGATGATGTCTTTGGGATATAGCATTTATCTTCATTCAAGAGGTGGCACCTGATGAATAACTTTGTGGTTCTCAATGCATTTAAATAAAACAAAGGCAAATCATAGCCCTTCACACTACAAAGAAACAATAGTGAGGAACACTGCAAATTTCACCCTCTTCCTCCTCCCTCCATTTCTTTTGGGAAACCGAACTGAGGGCCAGACACTACAAAGTGCCAATCATCCTCAACACCTATTGAAACCAGTGGGAGCGAAGGGTACTCGATGACAACGCACAGGATCATGCCTCTAACCTAAGATGGACTGGCAACCTATAGATACATAACTTTTCCAGACAATGACGAAGGACTGCAGCATAGCATCGGTCTAAAAGTTGGCAACAGGAATAGAAACCTAGAGTAGGAAGGAATTATTTAAGATGGAATAAAAGCAGGCAAAGAAAAATATGGCTGAATTTCCCAATGGGGAGACCAACTGAACTGTAGGATATGCCTTCAATAGGGAATGGTATATTGGACCATTATCATCTTTACTGGGCAGAATACAGCACTGAAGATGACATGGCAGTAAAGAATGAAGCATGGGCCAAATTCAACAATGGCTTAATGGGTCTCCTCTATACCCACTCTCTACAGATTTCTGAAATCAATCAAGGACTGTGTTTCATATCCCCCCGTAGGCAGGTGTTGCGAACTAATTAAAAGTTGCCACCACCCTTTCTACATGAAAGGCATGTATACCAGGTGCAAGCACATACACCAGGACAAACAGGCAGTGCTTTTAACCACAATTGGAAATTATTTTGCAATTTTCAATCCCTTTCAAAGCTGAGAACCATCAAAGATTCAGGGGGGAAAAATACCATGGTTCTTTCCCCCAAAGCAGCCATACTGGTAATGGGCTTCAGGAAAAATCCTCCTAACGGCAAGCGATAAGCGTGGAGGGTGAAGGCTGATAGGTCTGATTATAATTATCACTGCGAGGGGACCAGCATGAGCCTCCCTCCTGGAAGGCAGTACAATTTTTTGAAGGGGACCTGTGAGTGAATTATTTTAAATAACATCAGCGTGCGTGGAACAGATCTGCCGTCCCTAACAAAAGGAGGCCCTCGTCCGGGAGGGCACCTTAGCACTCACTAACATGAATACATATTCAGGTTAATATGGATATACACATGCTTACATAGTGCCACTGACTTCAAGGTTGATATAACTAGGAGTAACAGGATCAAGCTGGATGTCTCAATGGGATTTAAGCATGTGTTTATCTGTCACCCTGAATGGGGACTTCTCCAGAATCAAAGATGAAAGAGGAAACCTGGGGGAAATGTGCATCTGTTCAATTTAGCTATCATTTAAATCTCAGAAACGTTTCCTGCAGAGTTCAACCAAACCCCAGATTTGAACAACCACATAGTGAGCATCTCCTTTACATTAACCAAACATTGATATTTGGAAACCTGATGAGATTAGGCCTCTTACCCTGACGGGCAGATATTCCACCTTTTGCCAAGGTGACATAATCCCAGATCAGCCGCTCTCATTTTGTCCTATGTAGGTTTTCGAACATGTCAGCCCAATGTCGCCTCCATATTTTGATATTTCTAATTCTGTTCCCATCAGAAACCAGGAAGTTTGTGTGATCTGGCGCACAGGTGGCACTACTTTGACCCAATTTTTTTTTTTTAAATAAATGAAATCCATATGTCCATCAAAACATGATTGCTCCATACAGGTGCAGACGAAGTAGGGGTTCAAGTAGAGGAGGGTTGTGGAGATTTCACTCTTGTCTCTCAATAGCGCTGACACAGATTGCACGTGGGGATATAAAAGCATGCTTGTTAGGCAAGCGGCCGATGTAAGGCCCTTTCTTCCCACTGGGTCGCAGTGCCGCAGAGTGGGTTGCTCTCCCGTATACATAGAAGAGACCATCCCAAAATGAACAGCTCCCAAGAAACCCAAATCACAGTCGCATGCATTGAAAAGACCCCCCGCTTCGGTTGGGATCCCTTTAAACCTGTACGTTGAACAGGAGAAATCTCACTGTATGCCGAATTTTACATCTAATGCGTCCGAATAGATTATGCCTGAAAAAGTTATAAGCCCCAAAGCTTACCTTATTGACGGGTTTAGTCACTGGATTCTGTACGGGGAATTTAAACCTTCTCTTCTCGAACTCTCCTTCTAGCTCCTTGGCATTTTCCTGAGCAAAGAGAATATACGTATTTTGATTGTCTAAACAAACAGTCAAAAACAGTCATGTGAGCACAGAGCTTGGTCCGGCCTTTTCCTATTCCATATGCTCTTTTCTCAGCCATTTCCCACTGGTCCGGCATCACTGTTATAGGTCTTGCTAACTGTTATACCCTCCCTTCGCTTGGCAGAGCGGCTGCCCCCCTCGCGTGCGTCCACACCTGGGTGCCCTTCATTTTTGGTGGTGTCCATCAGCTTCTGCTTAGCCCATTTGGTCACGTGAGTTTTGTTCTCCACCGTGCCTTGGAAACGTATTGCAGCAAAAAGAGAGTCATCGGGGTCTTCCTCGCTAGCCCCTCAGCCTGCTAAGCCACCACAAAGGTTGATAGGTGCCAAACGGTGGAGGGGGAGGCTGTTGTATCACCGATTCCTCCTGCACCCCTTTGTGAAGGGCTTGGGAGGAGGACGAAGATGCTGCGTGATGCCAAGCAGGCTGTTTTGTTTAAGAGTTAAAGCCGGGAGCTACAGCCAAGGATTACCACATCGCAGCCCCATTTAAAAAAAAGGATAAGTGGCAGCGATTCAGCATCATCACCCTCTCCCCTTCGCTTCAGCCCATCTACACAGAAAAGGAGGGCTCTCTGCCTCCCTCGCCGCCTTTGTCCACCTTTCAAGCTCTTCTTTCGCAAGGGTGAAATATTTTACATTTTCACCTGTGGTAACACAGATCACAGAAGAGTGTTTTCTTTCCCTCGCTTTGCACTGGTTTTGCCCAAGGCATCCTTTTAAGCAGCAGCCTGTGCAGAGATAATAGGTGGCCCGATTCTCTATAACTGGAATCAGCAACAAATCAGCCATCTGCCACTCCAGGGGTCTGAGATTAACCCAGCTACTGGACCGTGACTGCAGAGCATTTGCACATTTAGATTACAGAAATGTGAGGCTACCAGTCCAAAAATAAAAGAACATGGTGGGGGGAGAGATAACTCTCCAAGGCTCTTCTGGGTTAACCCTTCCAGAGATAGGTCACGTCACAACAGCTCCAAACATGCGGCGTTTCTCATTACTGAGTGTTAAAAAGAAGAGCGGAATGAGGGAAGCAAAATGAATTTCATTAATTATTGTGTCTCAGGGAAATATGCTGATCGCCCCCCGTTCAGCCCAGTGGATGCACAGAGTTAAGCAAATATACCAGATGCAGCACAACAGCCGTGATTGCGAGGCTCCTGGGGAAATTTGCTTATGGACAGGTTGCCCAAATGGTTCAGTTGGCTAACGCAGTGATCACAGGAGCAACCTTGCACTGTCTCGAGGGGGATGCATGCCTTTTTAATGACTACCCCAAAGTGTAACACCCCTTGCATACTAGAGAGCATTTTAAAAGTACCAAGAAAGAGGGGAGACCTGTATTTTGAAATATTAAAGCTTTGGGCAAATCACTTCACCACCTCATGCCTCAGTTTACCTTTCTGTCCAGTAAGCAACAAAATACTCACTTCACCTGAATCACAGCAAGATTGTAAGCCTTTTTTCTTTACTGTTTGTAGATCGAGAATCATAGGTTGGAAAGGATCTCATGTAGCCCAACCCTTGCACACATGCTTTGAGGGCCTTGCAAGACAAGCTTTTTCTCCTACGCCTGAAGAAGGCTGTTTATGCCCGAAAGCTTGCAATTAAAGACATTTTTTTTTGCAAAAATCTAGTTGATCCAATAAAAGATATCACTCCTACCACGAGTCCTGATTGCTTTTGCCTCTAGGCCAATGCAGCTACAACCTGGATACCTTGCAATACAAGTGTAATGTATTATTATTATCATTAGTAGTAGTAGTAGTAGTATGGTTATTTATTATTATCATTATTATTATTATTATTACTATTATAGTTAGAAACGCAAGGAAGTTTAATGCACCAGTAAAAGAATTTGGAGTTCAGGTCTGAGAGATAAAGGAAGGATGTGCATCTTGCATAAGAGCATGGCTTGCTCTGTTCAGGTGCATGGAGGAAAGGGTGAGGAGAACCCACCCAGGCACTGAGCCCTCATGCAGCGGTTGAACCCCCTCCCAATTCCTGGCATTTGACAGAGCAAGGCTACTCCAGCTTTCCACTAAAGAGGACAGAGCACCCGGGGCAAGGGGAAGCAGCTCCACTAGCATGTGCAGCAAAGTCAGGCTCCCGACAAGTCCCAAGAGAAGCCTTCTGGGAATAAAACAGGGGCCTCCACACTGCTTGCTAATGAGTGCAGTGGCTCTGAGCCACAATATGGTCCATCGGCTCCAGAAAGAAAGCTGACAGATTGTGGAAGCAAACACAAAATAATATTTTCTGCTTTTGCTGCATAAGAAAAGCTGGTTCTGGGGGGTACTGGGGCACACGGACAGATCCAAACTGCTTGGCTGGTTCTAGCCCTGACATACTGAATGCTTTTCTGGGACTTTGCAAGCTTTCTCGAGAACAACGTTATGTTCCTCACCAGCAGGAGACACAGAGGGGAGAAAACAGAAGTCAAGAGGTGCCAAAGTACCATGGCAAAATGTTTCATCTACAAGACTATGAAAGGCTCTTCAAGCCAAATGCATGCTGAGGAAGCTGTGTAGCTATTTGGGATATTGATAGAAGATGGAGGCAGGGTCAGGGAACAGTCATTGTCCATGCCAATAATTCTCAACCAGGGTGCCATGTAGGTGGAGGCGGGTGCCACACTATATCAGCACTGGTAGGTGTGCAAATATGATTCACATGATAAACCCAGAGATTTCAAATAGGGATCCACAGTGTTAAAAACGCTCTGCCCTGTTGTGATCCGAGTTCTCTGCAAAACAAAACAGGGCGACTCCGTTATTTTTCTGTAGTCAAAAAACAAGTGAAAGCTAAGAATTGGTATTTTTGAGGGGTGCCTCAAGGCTATCCAGGGATGCCTCGAGTCTAAAAAGGCTGAGAACCACTGGCTTATGCTGTACTTCCCCCCAGAAACCGGTGCATACCCTAATGGACACTTATCCAGCCCCTATTAGCATTAACTCTGGATGGGAATTTACATTCACCCCTCTGCCCTAAGACAGCCTTATTGGGCAAATGCACATCGTATTTGCAGAGACACAATATGAAGAGGGGAACCAGACAGCACCACAAAATGATACCCAACTGCCTTAGCAGAAAAAAAAAAAAATAAATCCATGAGGTTTTGCACAAAGTGAATAACACTGTCCTAAACCAGAGAGAAAAAATAACAAACCCAGCCCGAATCTCCACAAAACCTAAAAACGCTTGGATGAATAGTGGAACACGTGGCACTGAAATAAATAAATAAAATACCAGGAGAAACTTGTTTCGTGCAGCACCTACAGGAGGGCAAACCAAGTCCCGCAACCAGTTTGAAAGTCTGGCGTCCCAACCATGTAACAAGGTTCCCCTCCACATCCTCACTAATGACCTCTTTCCTTCCCCTCTGTCCATGTGCTGCATGGCTGACAGCTAATAAAGGAAGATTTGAAGCTGCATTGAGATCCAGAGCCAAAATTCAGGATCACCTTGTCCCTCATCTCTAAAGCCCCAGATCCAAACTTAAGGACGATCCAGATGCAGAGAGGATCTTTCTGCTCGGGCCTGTTTTAAGAGCATCGGCTTTCAGACCTATCAAGCTTGCCCGTGCCATTCGCAAGCCGAAAAATACGGTACAAAATCACTAATTGGCAACCTCCTCTTTTTGTCCCTCTGTAAACTGAAACACTGGGAACACCGATTCAGAAAAAAACAAAACACCTGAATAAAAATCCAAACCTGACCCCAGCGCTTTTTCCTGCCCAGGGCAGGGGGTTGGACTCGATGACCTACTGAGGCCCCTTCGGACCCTAACATCTATGAAATCGGCTCCTGGAAAGTGGCCGACTTCATGCATTACTGCAAGTTAAATCTTGGAGTCATTTTTTCCAGGCAGGTTTTAAAAGAAAGGGCTTTTGCAGCAGAAACACCACCACCCCATGAAGCAGAGGCTCAGCCGGGAACAGCGTCACCGGAACATGCTGCCTTGTAAGTTGGCTCGTCCCCTAGCAAATGAGAAGTGAAGGGGAACACTGATGCAGGCAGCGCTGCACCTTGCAGAGGTTTGTGTGTCCTACAAGTAACCTTGCATCATGATACAGAGCTACGAGAGTAGCCTTATGGGTACCGGAGGAGGAGGAGAACACGGGGTGGAGGGGAGAGGGGAGGAGTGGCAATAGAGAAACAAGCAGAAAACTCCCAGTGAATCAGCCCTTCCCGTCCTCCATAGGAAAAGGAGAGAGAGAGGCTGGCAGATTTGTGGGCAGGTGGGCATGCATAGACTCCCCACCTCCGAGCCTCTGTTACCAGCTTCTGCTTCTTCGCTCACATTTGTCATCGTACACACGCGCACAAACACACACACGAGCCACAACACCAACGAAGAGCTCAGCTCCCCTGGCATGGGCACCAGCCACCCCTGGGTATTACTGCAGCAGGCAAATCAAGGCCAAAAAAACAAAAAGAAACCCCAGTCACCTTAACCTGCAAGAAGCCCAAGATTTGAGACAAGCTCTGGCCATGTTCAATATAAGTTGCAGGGAGGGAGGGGGCGAGAAATTAAATTTGCCTGGATTTCAATCAGCCGAAAGTTAATGAAAAGGATCTTGCCTCTTCCCCAGAATCTCTAAATATCCCTGCCTTTCTCCGGGAGGGGAAGGGAGGGAGGTGGAGAATTACATTTAAAAGGCAAAAGAGAAAAGCAGGAGAAGGGAGAAAATTCTTTAATCTGGCTGGTGAACCCCGGCAGCATGAGCAGCCCTGCGTCCATAGCCATTCTCATTCCTGGCACGTTTCGCTGCTCTCCAGAACAGTCCTGATTCAAAATATTAGTGCGGCACAGAATTCCATTTTCGAGTCGCTGCAGCTCCTTCTTGGCACCGGTTCAGCTTTTTGTCTTTTCTTCTCCTCCAAGCACCAAGCGGAGGGAGGAGAAAAATAACCCACTATGCTTCAATATTGCCGACGCGC